GTAGAAAGCTTACTACCATGAGTATGAGACTGTAAGAGCTGATTCCACCGGTCCATGCTTCATTTAAGTCGCGCTGCAATAGAAACTGCTTCAAAACTATCACAAGATATTTAAGGCTGGGAAAGATCTGCAAAGATTCCTGTACAAAAAAAATTAAAATACAGTATTACTATAATTTCTTTACAGTATAAAATAAGTTTGCATTTTAATGCAATCTTACCTTGTCTTAATCTCATGAATACATAAACAAGTCAATAAAATTGTAGTTCTATAATTTTTGTACTTCTTTTCTCTTTACCAATTAAATTTTCATAATTTGGCCAATTGTTCTTAATCAACATACACTAGCTTGCTAAAAATGTTAAACAACATTCATTACCTCAAACACACAAATTAAACCGCTACAAAATAATATATAAAATCAGATTGCTATTAAAATTGTACACACTATTTAGTTAGTCTAACGATATTTTACAGTTACCAACTGTGTCAACTTGATTCATATCTAACTTATGCTTAGCATAAGTTAATTGCTTTTCAAACATAAATTACCAAGAAACAATATTAACATTCCTTTTAAGTAGATCCAATCATTAACTTAAACTACTGTATAAGCAGTCCATCATTTCTAGGGAGCGCGAGCGCAATCACGCTCCTGAACATGCTTTCAGGAGAGCAACTAACCGCACTCCGTCATTTACCAGGCAACAAAGGGATGGTACCAATTTTATTGTACTTCGTGTACCGCGGTTTCCTGATCGTTACTCGCGGTAACCGGGTAAACGATGTTACTGCAAGTTCGTTTATGCAACCATACGCTGTTTTCGGTAATCCTGTTGACTGAGCAGCTAAGCATGACAATAGTAACCGCCCAGACACGGCTCATTGGTTTTGACGATAACAATGCCTATACAGCAAAGGATTAGAATTAGAACACGGACCAATACTACCATATGCTATGGGTTGTAAAAACACCGTCCACTGCTTTAACTTTAAAATATGTTAGCTAGGTTTTTCCTATTTTTCACCATTGTCAGCAAACAGAAATATAGTAACAGTAAATAATGCGCTACTATTGTATAATAAATAATAAATTCTTCTCCTGTGTAAGCACGCTACGGACAGAGTGTGTACAGTGCAGGATTGTTGTATTTCATCATAGAAACATTAATTGTATAGTATATTAGTATTTATAAAACTTTATTATATCGTCCTAGTCAGTCTGAGAACATTCACACAAAAAATTCCCAGTCAGGAAGCCTCGAGAACTTTTCCCATAGCCTAATCTTATTTTTAGCTACAGTTCTTTCTTCCAGGTGCATTCCAAAGTCCAGACCAAGCGATCAACAAGGTTAGCAGTATTAGCTATTGAATTTATTGCTCACACCCATCCGACTGTTGAAGCACATGTTTCCGATGCATGGCTGACTTCCACAAGGAATTATAAATATATTGAGAAACTCCAGACTACGATAACGTGTTATATATATATATATATATATATATATATATATATATACCCTTGCGTATCTAAAATATTTGGCATAGGGGAACTGATGGGGGACAAAGATTTTGAGTGCGGGATGGAAAATGAAGTATGCCTAAATGGCAAACAAAAGTGAGGTGATTGTTAACTACACAGTGTAATTTTTTGCTCACTCAATTTCCAGTGGATAAATATTTCAAACACGACGGCCTTCTTCCGTGTGAGGACAACTGACAAGAAATAGAGCAACGATTGTATTTAAAAATTTTAATAACAAGGGATAATGATTAAATGCGATGAAATAAATAATTCAGAATAAACGATGATACGGGCTATAGAGAAAGGCCTGGGAACCAAGAACGAAATTAACTATGAATAAATAATTTAGTCTGATCAAGTCTTTATTTGTAATATTGGTTCTAATTATCCATTTTAATTCTTCTTAACGTCTATTAGAAAGGGATAAAAAACTATTGAGATTTTTTTTTAAGATTCTAAGGCGCGGGACGGCGAGAAATTTTATACCTTGTTTTTAGCTTATTTATTTTATAAAAAACCGACAGAATGATTTTATTTTCTAATTGCACTTGTCAATTTTATTTTAAAAAGTCTTGCCTCGTTCAGTAAACCCTAACCGGGCTAAAAACATTGTTTCCAAAATTAATTAGCTATTGATTGTATTGCTCACACCCCCCAGCCTTCCACCGCTCAGAAGAGAAGCACATGTTCTGTTGCGTTGCTGAAACGATAAAATTCTACCATTAAAATGTAGGGTAAAATAATATAATTATTTTCAAAAACAAAGCTTTTCTAATGTATTCATCAAACTAAATCAATTAAAAATGCTGGAAAGACACTTGTAGGGCTATGTGGCTAAATTTCCATTATATTTTTTTTTTTAAATAAATAAATAAACAGAAGAGCTCAGTACTCTTTATCCAGGGTAATTTTCGATTAATTCAAAGTAGCACTTCTCCCTGTGTCTATGCAAACAATACCTCAACCCAGTTCAGCGCTTCGCACATCACATTCTTCTAGAATATTCTCTGGATCCACCCTGTGCACGTTTTATAAACATAGGCTAACCATGGGCTAACAATCCCTCGCATGTACTTGTCACCTTATGACCTACTTCTGTCCCTGCTCCGCAGTACATCCGTATTGGCGGCGTACAAAGACGTCGAGATTGACCTTTTTCGGGTAGCAGCCAGTTTTCAAGTCAAAACGAACATGAGTTGTATTTTACCGTGACGCTATGAGTTTATGTGGAATGTACGATTGATTCTCGTGACTTGAAGAATAATATTTTTTTTCCTTTGATTTATAAGACAAATATAAAAAAAAAATTAACGACAAAACTCCATATCAAAATTTGTGCACCGCGTGTACAACAGAAGACGCGGTAGACGATATTGTAATTAGTCAAGCATGTCAAACAGAATGCTCACTCGATTTCGTTAACATTTTAATGCTTCAGTGAACAAGATCACTCCTACCTAATTAACGAAAGGGCTTACGTAATGCAGCGTGTACCGCGATGTTCTTCGGTACACGAAGTACAATAAATTTGGCACCATCCCTAAAACAAAAAACAAAAATTGTATTTTGAAACATTGTCCACAATCAAAATCTATCAAATTTTGCAGCTAAAGCTATAATATATGCCGGTGTATAAAGCCGCAAATTTTATACACAATTTCCACTAAGAAATTCAACCTGCTCCTAAAAAATTCTAGATTGCAAATCGTGAAGGCAAAAATCATCTAAGTTAGGCCCAGGCTACCCCAATTAGTTAGCCTAGGTTTGCTGGCCTAGTACTGTAATTATACAGTGCAACAAGGATGGTTTGGGTTGTTTAAAGCCCCATTCCTGGCAATATTTCAGTTAAGAAAAATCTGATTTTTATATAATGTTATAAAGATTTATAAATGTTATACGAAATTGCTAAATTAACTGAATTTAGACATTCCTAAACATGAAAAAAAATGTAAAATAAGACTGAAATTAGATTTTTTTGTGTTCCACACAAAAATAAATGCAGATGGATTTTTCATGTTTGATTTTGCGATAGGTCTGCGAAGAAATATAGTAGGCATCGAAAATATTAGCCTATCCTAACACTGCTAGGCTAGGTTATCACATATAAAAACATGATATTTTCCGTTGCTAGTTGTGAAATACAATATTTCATAGGAATTATTTTTAATCTGTTAATAAAATGATTCTGACCGAGATTTTGACAATTAAACAAACATATCTCAGGCATACTTGATCGATCGCAGTGTGCGAGGCAAAGTACAAAAACCAAATTCATTATAGAGGGCACACTTTATTGACTGTAAAAGTAAGAGCATTCTAGTGGATGCGGTCTACTACCTCTGAATTTGCCTAGTAACGAAGAATTCTTCGAGAAAATGGTAATCTCCCATGAGAAATAGTCTGTATTTCTCTTTTTTTTCTTAATTCTTTAGCGTAAAACTAAAATTTATGCCAATATTTTTCCATTGTTTATAATAAATAAGAGTAATGCATGCATTTTTCAAAAAAAAAAATCTTTTTGGTGAAATTTTGCTGTGAATGGCGCTTTAAATAAATATTTTTACATTATGTACATTCATAAGCAATGTTTGAAACACATTGTATGTGTTTGACACGGTTCGCTTAAAACAATAACAATTTTTTTTCCACGTCCTCGGAAGTCACGCGAGTAGCTTTACAAACATCGTCCCTGTAATTTAAATATAGAATGACATACGTTATCTGCCCATGCGTGAACTTTGTATCACATGGTATTTCTAGGTTCTGTTTACTGCGTGATCGATGAATGTTGCGTGATTCGCTAGAGTTAGTAGGTCGTGAGTAGTAGTAATAATGGCTAGTTAGGCCTAGAATATTCTGAAGTCAATATCGGCTTTTATCATTGATTGAATAATTCAACTTATATCAACAAAACCTAGGACAACATTTCTAATATTATTAACAATTTTAAAAGTAATTTAAGACAAAATCTTATAATCATAATCCAGGTAAGTATCATCCATTATAGTATCATTTTCACAAGAGTACACACATACAGTAATCGGAGGGGGGAAATGAACAATGCACACACTACTCAATGCAAATCCGAAAATGATGGTCCTAAAATGACAACAATTGTCAATTCATTATGTACTCTTTTAGAGAGGAGATGAGCGAATGTTAACAAAAGGATGTTTTGTACACTTTTGAAAATGATGAAAAAATGGTATGACCTACTCTATAATAAATATTGACAGACTCAGTCAATGGAATATATAAACAAATTTTGTGATGTATCATTATAACTAGTACTGTATCTATAATCAGGTGATTTAGAAGATCAAGTTATTCATAGCAAACCAGCAATTCAGGATGCAGCAAATGATTGGTTTCGTACAGGAAGGAACAATTTAAACCCATGAGATTCAGAGCTCTGTTTTCAGGCGCCACTGTCATTTATTTCATCCAGAGGAAGTACGTAAATTACATGGCAGGGTCATCTGGATGATTTGTTCCTTTGCGGAATTATTAGCAAAACTAGGTGAATGTAAGCTTGGCTAATGTTTGGTTTTTGTTTTTTTTTACTCCAATGTTTACACTTATCACACTATGAATACAGACTACACTTAGCAAAAACTAGTTGCATTTTATGGTAGCAAAGCAAGGTCGAATGTTTACAATTTTTTGACTCAAATGTTCATACATTACATTAATCATATTCAAATATCAAATTTAAAAACAATGCGAAATACCAAAAAATATGATGATACTGTATATGTAAAAGACAAAGCTCTAATTCAGAAAATATAATATTTTGTATTAAATAAAGTCTAAATTCAATGATAACACAGTATATTATATTTGCCAATTTGATTTGATTTAATTGTTGCATAAAATAATATTTAAAATTGTATTTGCTTATGTTTTACCTGTATCCACGATGCTCCAAGGATGCCGGATCTTCTGTTGAAGTTAATGTCCACTTTTACTTTGGTCAAGCGGTCAGTCATTTTCACAATAGGTACCTGTAATTTTAAATGGGATTGTATGAATGTATATTAGGAATGTCAGATCAGTAGCAGTAGGTGGGATTTTTTTTTTACAAGCCAATACTTACAGATAGGTAAATTTGCTTAGCAAGCACCCGTAATGTAAATGTGACTATGAATTATATTGCAGCCAATGAAAAATAAAACATTAAGGATGTTTACATTTTTTTTAAATAAATGATGAATATGGATGATTATACTGCTAGGAAAGACTGAATAAAAACACATTAAGTAATGTATACTGACTATTAAATTACAGTAGAAACAATCAATGCAACAGTAGAAAAATAATAGACTTTTTTTTAATTTGAAGTCAATATCGGCTTTTATTATTGATTGAATAATAGATAAATGAATATGCTCACTATATTCTAGTATATTAAATTAATATTTAAATTTGAATAAATTTAACTAAAATGATTGATGAAACCCACACAGTCGGAAATGTAACGCAGAAAATATAGGTTCAAAATATAATTAAAAACTCAACAGTTTGGAGCTAAAAAATAAGTGGTTATAAACAGGTAAACAAAAAATTTTCACTGAAAAACTTTTGAAGTTGAATTAATTGTTTAAAAAAACTGAAATTTCTCTGCGTCCCATACGCCACGCAGGCTTTTTTTTATAATTTCCCTCCAAAAACTTGATTTCAGCTAAAATGGCAATCATGTGTTGTTACCTATTGTACAACATACATATTGTGATAAAATATTTTCTTGACTATTAATTATTAATCGGGCTGCAAAACATTTTCTAAATGTCCCGTACGCCACATATGGAATCGCCCAAATATGGATTACTGCTCGGGCAAAGATTGAATACAAATTTGGACATTATTAGCTTCAGAGCATTAATTAATGTATCCACTATTAAATTAGAAACAATCTATGCAACAGTCAACGTGTGACCGTCATATGACGCAAGTGCCTGCCTCAAGAGTTCAGTTAATGGTTTATCAACAACATATTTTACTTTGAATATGCCTTAGCATTTAAAGCATTGCTTTCTAAATGCCATAATAATTTTTCTTTAATTTACAAGTCTAATTTAGCAAATTAGTAAATTACTATGCATAGACAGGCTGCCAACCCATTAACAGCCATGAGCTTGAGAGTAATTGAAACATAACACGGTCAAAATAACTATACTAGATGAAAATACAATTAAGACTAAAAGAAGGTTATTTATGACAAAACATCCAACAAAATGTCTCATGACCCCAAGTCTATGAATTACAGAAAGAGTCATGACCCCAAGCCTATGAATTACAGAAAGAGAATTAAAGTAATTGTCTACAGTATGGGCTAGGGCTACCATAGTACCGTACTTTTACCAAGGTTTTGCCTGTTTCATTTTAGAAGTGTCTTTCTGAAATGAGGAGGTTCTGGCTTTTTGGAATGTAAAAAAGTCGCAATGGTTGGCAAATATGCACAGTTGCTTGGAAAATAAATCAATTAAATTATCATTACCATATTACTCATACAGTATTCATATTATAATATTATTCATATTTTGGCACAGAATAAAGTATGCACAGTTAAAACTGGTAGATGAAAACCTTTCATGTTTCTGGGTACATAAAGCTACTTTGTGAAATAATGTCTTTAGAAAGACCCATTTAGACATTTATCCTCCCAGGTACAACATGGCCAATTTCCACGTGATTGAATGTAAAATGTTTCAGAAAAAAAGGAGGTGATTATATCTGACCTACTTATTAACCAGGGGTTGTGCTAGGACTTGCCTGACACAAGGGAAGGAGGTGTACTTTAGGGGGGGGAGGGAGAGAATTCCCTGCAAGGCTTTTTTAATCTAAATTTTACATTTTAACATTCACCTGGTAGAAAATATATTCAAAAGAGATTTTTTTTCCCCTGATGACAGTGGGCACTAGCTCCCACCGAGCACATGTTACCGATAGGGACAATGCTACTGTACACTGTGGCTAATATATTCCTCAAACTTCTAATATCTCAACCAAGACCAACTGATTTACTTTCATAGTCCCAATTAAAAAACTTTTACTGGTAAATTAGTCCATAAGTCAGCTACAGTAAGCAAGTACAAGTACTGTAGTTGGGGTTTAATGACTTGAAAATACAACATATATAGTCATACAGTAGCCTAGACCAACAGACTAGAATAATCTGAAAAGGCGGCCAGCCTTGCCTTCATACAGTTTCTAATCAGTGGATTTTTTATTAAATACCAACACGCAATATTTACCAACTGGTCGAATATTATACCAGTAGAATTTATGGCTAAACCTGAACTTTTGAATTTTGAATTGGCACTAAATGTGTTATTATATTACACTGTAATAATACACTACATTACATTCTTTGTTACCTGTTGCCTACAAACGTTCCCACAAAACATGTTCCCATAGTTCTCCCCTCGGAGGTACTATCTCTGATGCGATATCAATTCAAGATCATTGATTCCCTTTTGTATTTTAAGTATGTCACTGGTGAGAGAGCGAGATTCCTTTTGTATACCGCTAAACGAAAGTAGGTCAGATGATCAAAATAGGCAGGCTAGGTCGTTATTATGATACTGCGATCTTAAGTAGTAATGACACCACAATTCAAAAAAATTAATGTAAAATGCAAAAAATAGTGAGCATACAGTACAAAACAGGCAGGTATAGCCTGGGCCTTGTAGTGCAAACCCAGGCCTCAAAATGTAGTACCTGTATTTACGCTCAGAAAAAAACAAAATAAAATAATAATGTTACAACAAGGATAAAGGGTTGACTTAGTACCCTTTCCAATATTGACCTTGATGCCCTGACCAACTGACCTATGTGCCCTCTAAAATCCAGTAAAATCTAAGCCCAACTGGCCTTGTCCCTAATATGTGGAATGAAATACAAGGCCTATCACTCTTAATCACTATTATACTATATCAAGTTACTGCCAGGATGTCAACATTCACTTTGAACTAAAATCTTTTAATCAATTTGAAAATACAATAGGGGTTCTACTGTATCAACTTTTATATTTTTTATTTGATATTGAAAAGAATAAACTGAACAAATTCATACCACAATGACAGATTCAGAAAGTCGAAACAGAAGGGGCCAATGAAGGAATTTTTTGATGGGAGGTACAAACTGATATGGCCAGAGATGGTACTCAATTTAAAAGAAATTTTTTATTTATTTTTTATTTTCAAAAAATTAGGTGAGAGGGAGGGGACAGTTGGAGCTCCTGTCCCCACTAGAATCCACCTACATGAATAAATTATACTACACTGACAGTACATTTGAAAATAAACATACTATTAGTCAGAATTTAACATGGTCTACTGTACGCTGATCTCATGGGCTGGCTGAGTTGAAATCATTTCAGGAATGTTTCATTCTAGTATGATGCGAGTGACAGTAAAAGCCATGATTCTCACTTGCCAGTTTATGTTACAATTGGTCTACTCAACAACCACAGACAATGTTAAAACATTTCACATTGAACAAGTCATTCAGGGATCATGTGAACAGATGAATTTAAACTGCACTATACTGATATTACAAGGACTACAAGAAATGCTTTTCTCAAAGTTAAAAAAGATACCATATTCATCTTTCAAAATTGTGGATTGGCTGAATCATACAAAATCCCTATATTGTTATAATCCTTTAAATTATTTATGAATTCAATGAATCACCAGTAAAAAGAAAAATAATTTTAAACACAATAGGTAAATTATAAGTTCAAATTTACTTGGAAGTCTGAGAATATTCATACGGTTCAAACGCATTATTCAAGCCTTATTAAACTTCATGATTTTATCATGAGTGTTTCTGATTAGACAAATAAACTTTTATATTATTCGTTAATTACATAATTTTAATTAGTGTGTTACTCTTTGATAAATTAACTGACAACTTGAGTCTTCTCTTCATCATTATCACAAATAGAAATGGGTTTCTTGTACTTATAAAATTATTGGAAAAAATAGAGAAATAACACCACTAACGACCCTATAGTTGCATTGAGATTTTAGGATGTTAAAATTGCTAATCATTTGGCTCAAGTAAAGAAAAGCACTAACAATAAAAGAGACTATATTAACCAAGAACATTCTTTGTAAATTAAGAAGGGAGTGTCTATTGTTACTCCAGTAATACTAATAGTAGTACAAATTTCTAATTCTGACTTAATGAATATGAATTGGATTATGCATGCGTTATATTTCAATGACGAAATAAATGTAATGACTAACATCCGATCTGAATTAGTAATGTTTTTAAGAATGGTATAACATTATCCATTGCCAATAAAGAAAAATGTTGTTATACTAATCGAAGACAATTAAAATGTTTCCAAATCCATCATTCAGAAAAAATGAACTTACCGATGCTTTATCCAAAACCTTTATGCTATTCTCTTCACCAACATTGCTCTTCCCAAGTTCGTTTCCAAGGCGATTACATGGATTATCACCAAGGTCACCAAAAACAACAAGATCAATGTCACTGCAAAAACATACGAAGTATTGTAAATAATAAATTTAAATAAATAATTTTTCATTATATACTGTACAGTAATGTACTGCATATTAAAAACTAAGTCATTGTCCCTTTAACAACTATAGGGCCTATCCTTTAGATGTTAGAATGATTATTATTATTAAAAAATGCTTTCCTTTTGTCATGCTTTTTCACCGATAATGTAGTTTGTCTATACTACAGTATTTGCTTTCCAGAATTTTCAAATTAGGTGTCTATGTCATTTATTCCTATCTTATATCATACATATGATTCAGGGCCCCAAAAACAAATGTATTGTCACTGTCAGAGTGAGAGATATTTCTTCTAAATTGTATTTTTTATCTTAAGTAATTTATTTTCACATAGACAGATACGGTCAAAGAGTATAGAAGTGCAAGAGGTCCGACTGCCGTGGATTCGTTGGAACATAATCCTATTTCAAGAAGTACTGCCACGAAGGGACGTGTTCCCTTTAAAGACGTTCATATCGAACATGTGCTGCGTGCATGTTTGAGTTTCAAACTCTATTCAAATTCTTCCCCTACATTCCATTCCATTGCGTGCATACCAAAGATCTTATAAACGCAAGGTACTGTAGCATTCTCTGCGATTTTCGTGTGCAAATTCTGTAATAACGTGTGTACGGCGCCCTCTTGTAAAAGTGAAAACTTTTGAACTTTAACTGCTTTGACCATGGCGTACACCACGCGACTTTACGTTTACACGTAACAATTAGAAGCGTACGATTTACCATGCACCCTCTCTTTAGAACAATTAAGGAACAATTAATGTACTTAGTAACGAACTTTGGCATAATGCGAACATCCTATCTCAGATCCATGGCAATGACTGGACGCCCTCGCCCAAAAGTGATTACTTTTCTGTGCCAAATCGACGCTTCTATTTGTTACGTGTAAATCGTAGAGAAAGCCATCTTGTGTTTATAAAATCTTTGGTGCAAACAAAATCAGGGCAGTTTGAACTCTTGCAATTCTCTACTCTTTGATATGTGTGCGTGTGATGTGTGTAGTGTTTCTTCTTTGGCTGCTTCAAGGTTCACAGTAATTTTGGTTTTTTTCTTCTGCAGTGCTACTACTGCAGTGCACTTTATAATTATTATTATTATTATTATTATTATTATTATTATTATTATTATTATTATTATTATAAAATCAATACTGTTGCAAGAAATGTGAACTTTAAACATGTATGATTTGACTGGTTAAAAAAATTATGAATAACATTATTCAATAGCTTTATATAAATGTTAAATTAAAATACAGTAAAATCAAAATAAATAAATAAAATAGAACAAAGTCGAATGGCCGATTAGCAAGGGCAAAGCAAGCTATAGCCATAATATCGGCGCTGGTTCGAACGGCACGCTCGCCTATGGTTCTGTGCACTATAAAGAACCCAGTACATCTTTCAAGACGAGCAGGGGGATACCCCGGTGTACTGGAACAGACAGCCGCTGTGGTGGACGATGAGAGTTGCTGGTACCAGGTTACCGGGTAGCAGACACGAAGGGACCCTTAGTGGCGAAAAAAGTCATTGATCGAGTTCCTAGACTACATAGTGTATCAAGTGCCCTGAGTATCTTACATTAGATGGATATGTGCGCTATATAAAACTACACTATTATTATTATTATTATTGCACATTGCAAGATGGATGTAAATAATGAAGACATTTACCGTAGATAATGAAATTTTAAATGCATCACCAGAAAATTTTTTTTAGTAGAATTCCCAATGATTGATCTTTGCCCCAACAAAACTTGCACACCCAAATAGCCTATATGACTCGGCCATTTATACTCTAATGTAAACCAAATTGGAATTGATTTAAAATAATTGTAATGTCTTTAATTATACCACATGTTTACTAGATTAAGACTGGTGACTGCCAAATGTTAGTCAGCAACCAAATCCGGCTTTGAACCTCTTTCAAATAGCTTAAAAATACCACAAACCAAAGTCACAAAGTAACTTATATTCTGGTTCTTATTTTGTTTTATTAAAAAAAATTAAAATGTGAATTGGAATTTTATTATATACAATATACAGAATACACATATTAAAAAAAAAAACATCAAATGCTAACAAAAATGACAAAAAAATATAGATGATAGGCATACTAATTTTTCTTTAGATTTGTTCTTTATACAGAAATTAATATAATACTAGCATATTAGGAGAGATTGATCCAGTTATGAAACCGTGGAGTTTCTCTTTCTATTTTGAGGCAGGTTTTCATAAGCATAAGATCTACGGCCTAAAGTGGAAAAAAATATCAATAAGTGGACTGTTTACTTTGTACTGTATAATTCATTAGCTTTCAATTAAAAGAATTAACATTTCTTTTCAAATTAATAGAAACAAGATTATTTGATATAGATTTGGTCTTTGTAAGTGTGCTAATAAATCATTAGTTTTGGAAAATTTTAAAGTTTTAATAGTTCTATTATTATAATATGCAAACAGTATTATACCTTGTGGGTAGAAATAGGTTGGTTTTGAAACTTCCATAAATCTCAAGCTGAAAAAAAAACAGGTAAAAATACCACATATTAATGACAAGTTTAAAATGCAGAAGCAAAGTTCTATATGTGGGTCAGACATTAATGTATGGCTTGGAACCTATTAAAGTCAATAAACTTATTAAGAATTTTCACATTTGCTCCATTACTGTTAACTACTGCACCTGGTGAAAGTATCACCGAACTGGTCAACTTTTAGATAGACTATCTATAATCATTTATATCTATTTCTGAAGTATTCATAGAGCTAATTGTCGAAATCAATGTATTAAAATTTACAGAAGTATTAAACATTATTACAAATAAGAAAAAAATTACTTGTACAGTATTTTCTACAGAAGAACACGCATCTATAGAGATTATTTAATCTATTACACAGTTGACAAAACTGTTTCAAATTTGTTTAGAACAAGTGAGCAGGTGAGAAAGTACAAGTGATTAAAAAAATGTCACAATAAGTTGAAAAAAAGTAGATGGTGAAACAAAGATCACATGTGGTAAACATATGACGCTGCCTTTGCACTGTAAGTGGCACTTGGGTTACACTAATGACAGTAAAAACCTTTTGTGACAATATTGATGTTGTCACACTTAGGGATGGTGCCAATTTTATTGTACTTCGTGTACCGCGGTTTCGCGATCGTTACCCGCGGTAACCGGCTAAACGATGTTACCGCAAGTTCGTTTATGCAACCACACGCTGTTTTCGGTAATCCCGTTTACAAACTGACCAATGACTGTTGACTGAGCACCTAAGCATGACGATAGTAACCGCCCAGACACGGCTCATTGGTTTTGACGATAACAGTGCCTATACAGCAAAGGATTAGAATTAGAACACGGACCAATACTACCATATGCTATGGGTTAAATAACAAACAAACAAACACCGTCCACGGTTTTAACTTCAAAATATGTTAGCTAGGTTTCTCCTATTTACACCATTGTCGGGAAACAGAAATATAGTAAAAGTAAATAATGCGCTACTATTGTATAATAAAGTACAATTCTTCTCCTGTGTAAACACGCTACGGACAGAGTGTGTACAGTGCGAGATTGTTGTATTTCATCATAGAAACATTAATTGTATAGTATATTAGTGTTTATAAAACTTTATTATATCGTCCTAGTCAGTCTGAGAACGTTCACACGAAAAATTCCCAGTCAGGAAGCCCCGGGAACTTTTCCGATAGCCTAATCTTATTTTTAGCTACAGTTCTTCTTTCAGGTGCATTCCAAAGTCCAGACCAAGCGATGAACAAGGATAGCTGTATTAGCTATTGAATCTATTGCTCAAACCCATCCGTTTGGTGAAATTTTGCTGTGAATGGCGCTTTAAATAAATATTTTTACATTATGTACATTCATAAGCAATGTTTGAAACACATTGTATGCTGTCTCTTATACACATCTAGATGTGTATAAGAGACAGGTTAACTACACAGTGTAATTTTTTGCTCACTCAATTTCCAGTGCATAAATATTTCAAACACGACGGCCTTCTTCCGTGTGAGGACAACTGACAAGAAATAGAGCAACGATTGTATTTAAAAATTTAAATAACAAGGGATAATGATTAAAGGCGATGAAATAAATAATTCAGAATAAACAATGATGATATGGGCCATAGATAAACGCCTGGGAACCAAGAACTAAATTAACTATGAATAAATAATGTTATCCATTTTAATTATTCTTTACGTCTATTCAGGGAGTTGTTATAAACAACTCCCTGGTCTAACAACTCCCTGGTCTATTGGAAAGGAATAAAAACTATTTTGAGAGATTATTTATTTATTTTTTTAAGATTCTGAGGCGCGGGACGGCGCGACATTTCATACCTTGTTTTTAGCGCCTCGAGGTTGTGTCAACGTGAGGCGCTATATAAATTCAGAATTATTATTTTTTAGCTTATTTATTTTATAAAAAAATCGACGGATGTGCGACAATAAAAATAAAATTTTGTTTCCTTAGGCCCACTGTATAACCAGAATGATTTTATTTTCTAATTGCACTTGTCAATTTTATTTTAAAAATCGCCTCGTTCAGTAAACCCGAACCGGGCTAAAAACATTGTTTCCAAAATTAATTAGCTGTTGATTGTATTGCTCACACCCCCCAGCCTTCCACAGCCCAGAAGAGAAGCACATGTTCTGTTGCGTCGCTGAAATGATGAGACTCTACCATTAAAATGTAGGGTAAAATAATATAATTATTTTCAAAAACAAAGCTTTTCTAATTTATTCATCAAACTAAATCAATTAAAAATGCTGGAAAGACACTTGTAGGCCTATGTGGCTAAATTTCCATTATATTTTTAAAAATTGCACGTGGAACTTTCTACTGTAGTTGATTATTGTTGCTATAACGCGGCCTATTTTAAAGTGGACTTGGAACGTCTTGTTCGATGCAGCAGATATTGGGATACACTGCATGCTGGTACCATGGAGGAAAAATGTCTTTATGACTACCCTAATAGAGAAATAATTATATTTTTATGCGCGCTTATCAGTTTATATGCACCAGAGGTGGTCGACGGACCCCTTAAAAAAGAGGGGTAGAAATAGAAAAGTACAAAAAAATAATAAATAAACAGGAGACCTTAGTACTCTTTATCCAGGTTAATTTTCGATTAATTCCAAGTAGCACCTTCTCCCTGTGTCTATGCAAACCCCAACCCAGTTCAGCGCTTCGTACATCACATTCTTTTAGAATATTCTCTGGATCCACCCTGTGCACGTGACTGGTAGAGGCATAGACCTTTAGTAGCTAAATAATTTGCGACTAGCTAGCTGCGATACTCAGACTGGATACTAAAGCTCATAACTGAATCAATAAACAGCGTATCATTGATCGTCATACCAACAAAAGGACATGATAAATGTTCCTGTCTAAATTAAAAGGATGAACATGAATAAAATACAAAGGAAGCAGGTAAAACTGTACTTTATTATTTTTTTTATAAATACATGCTAACCACGGGCTAACAACCCCTCGCATGCACTTGTCACCTTATGACCTACTTCTGTCCCTGCTCCGCAGTACATTCGTATTGGCGGCGTACAAAGACGTTGAGATTGACCTTTTTTGGCTAGCAACCAGTTGTCAAAGTTTTCAAGTCAAAACGAACATGAGTTGTATTTTACCGCGACGCTATGAGTTTATGTGGAATGTACGAATGATTCTCGTGACTTGAAGAATGATATTTTTTCCTTTGATTTATAACAGTCAAATATATATAAAATAAAAAAAAACCAACGGCAGACGATAAATTAACGATAACCAAACTCCATATCAAAATTCATGTACCGCGTGTACAACAGAAGACGCGGTAGACGATATTGTAATTAGTCAAGCATGTCAAACAGAATGCTTTACTCGATTTCGTTAACATTTTAATGCTTCGCTGAACAAGACCACTCCTACCTAATTAACGAAAGGGCTTACGTAGTGCCGCGTGTACCGCGATGTTCTGCGGTACACGAAGTACAATAAAATTGGCACCATCCCTTACAAAGGTATTGTCCTACAATCGGGAGTCTGGAGGTATTAGTAAAAGAGGAAGGGGTAGGCAGATGTAAAAAATGCCACCAGATTTCAAGTGTTTATGACCTGCATTTAAATCACATGAAATTACCAACAGACACTATTCCGTCACTAACATTTTTCCATTCAACTGTTGGTTTCTGGAATGTTCTAATATGTTCATGCTTTTCCTTGCTAGTTGGATAATCTTGTTTCTATTACTGGTATAAAAAATGAACTTTATTTAGCTCAAATTTATCAACTTTTTGGAGGTTGTTTCTTAATGTAAATTCATGAACAATTTAAATAAAAAACCTTAAAAATCATATATCAAATGGAGAGAGTATTTTTACTTGTTAATTATTCAGTATAGTTTTATTTTTTAGATCATACCAAGACTTTTTGAAAATATTAGTTTCTTTTTTTTTTAGTGTATGTTTAAGTGACAAAATGAAATGAAAAGCATTGAAACACTATACTGTACTTGGTGCCTTTAAGTGGGATATGAATTATCAGGACTTTTATGCAGATCTAGTGCAATTTTTTTTCTTGATCTCCATTCTTGGGAGAACAGTGTATCATCAGACATACCTGAGCCTCTGGCCATATACTGCGTACAACTTCACTAACACGGTTTACAACCTCTGATCGCATCAAAACCTCTTCCTTCTTTGGACTCATAAAATGGAAGAAGTCGTATATCTCATTGTGAAGTCTGAAAATAAATGAAGGAATACAATTAAATGTTGTCAAACAATTAAAAAAGGGATTTATAAATAATAATATCGGTAGCTGCTCCATGTTTATATTTGACTCTTTTCAGTGTAAACTTGCACTACAATTAAAAACCTGTATCACTATTTTTCATGTCTTTTACTGTAAGGTGGGGTAAAAATTTATAGTATGGGTGTAAGCATAAATAGCAAGTATTGTTTTTATAACATGAACATATTTATGTGGGGTGACACTTATCCTAGAAGAGCAAGCTTATATTCAGGCACATTCTTAAATTAGAGTATTGTAATGTACTGTAATGGTTCAAGAAGTTTGCCATCCTCTAGAACTTTCCAGTAATAATCCAACTGGGTTTGGTCATCATAATACTAAATTGGGTTACTGTATAACATGGGGCACAAATACGTTCGCTGGATTTTATATTTTTTTTATATTCGCCCTTACTGTAAAAGCAAGTGATAAATATTGAGATTTATTAATGTGTACTACATCTGTACAATTGCAAACAAATGGCAAACCTCTAGCTATAAACATATAAGTATATAATTTTACATAGCTCCATGATTTATACTAGGCATATATTATAAATACTGTACATAAGTCTTTAATATATTCATATACAGAAACAATGATCAAAATAAATGATAGCAAAAATTGTGTTTACAAGACTAATTCCTAAAACAGAGCAGCTTCATAACATTGTCATTCATGACATTAGTAATATAATTTTACAAAATCAGGAAATGTATTATTTATTATCACCTCACTTAAAACACCAAAGTACAGTATATACAGTAGTATCATTTATTAGTTGAAAAGCCAGCTGTAACATTGTTGGCAGTGGCAGGCCTAGGCCACTAATAAAAGTCTAAGGCTTGGCTATCATTTTATGGTCTGTGTGTGGCTTAGGCCTAGACTATTTATTTCATAATTAATATATTTAGAGAGGCTATTTATTTATAGAAATTAAGGTACATAGTTTAAACTACAATAGGCATAGCCTTGATAGGCATAGGCCTAAGTCTAGGCAGTATTTATTGAACAGAAATTGGTTAATAGTACAGTGAGTAAACGAAATTGAAGTCGGGAATTTCCAAGCCTTACCCAATAACGCCCTCTGCATAGAGTTTTCCATGGTTTTTCCATGGCGTTCCGCCCCCTACCAAATTCTCTGAATGATTCCAGTCATAAGTACAGGCTATATTATCTCGCTTACGTTTGCTTATATAATTGTTCCTACTATCTACAAGATTATGTCCATTTGAGACTGATCTTTTACTTGATGAATCGATGTTCGCTTGAAGTGGAATAAAGTCCTGACAGCGACTACCAGGGCCCGTTTTATTCGAATCGGTTCCTGTGGTGGTGGCCGCCGTAGCAGCGGTCATTTCATTGATTTGCAGATTATGAAGTTGAGTAGCACTATCAAAGATTTCAGTCCAAAGAGAGGTAGCTGGTCCCAGTTGTTCAGGCTGATACCAAGATATGCGTGGATCCATCCAAAGAAAGCTGTTTCGGACTATTTAAATAAAGCTGGAAGTTGAAAAACGGAGTAATTTCCACCTTCAATTCCAGCTGTCCGAAGAAACTTCCAAAGATGGCGACGATGTGCCTGTCATACATTGCGCATGCGTGGTGATTTAAAAAAAAAAATCCCCTCCCCATTGGCCAATTGATACAATCAAATTAGCTTCGAAAACTAGTGTTTTCTTCTTATGAAAAAGATGCCATGATTGTAAAAATATTTTACTTTTTATCATTACATTGGCCAGGTTCAAATGAAGGCATCTCAGCAAGACATTGGAACACATAAAAGGCAATGAAATTATTAGTAAGGGCTGCATTTAGGATTAATTTCATTTATTTATTTATTGTTAAAATGTTACCACTGCTTGATGTAACATTAACACAAGAAATTAATAATAAAAAATATTTTTTTAGTTATTATTTTATTGATCATATATCAATCATATATCATTTATTTTGCCTTATACTCACCTCAGATGAGTAACACCTGTGGCTGTTGGCAGTGGCCCGCGCCAGCGGGGACAGGGGGAATAATCCCCCCACCGGAGAGGTCAAGCCCCCACTGGACAGAGCGTCAGGCAGTCAGACCATAAAACATATAAAAATAGGCCCACACCAAGCCAACACATGGCTGTCACAGTCTAAAGTGCCATTTTCGGCCATCCAAATGGTTTTTTTTTTAAATCTCATTTGGGAGGGGGAAACCTCCTCTCAACCACTTCCTACGTCACCACGAGCCTACGAGCTCAAGTCCCCCTGTCGGACAACTTATCTCCCCCACCCCCAGAAAATATATCCTAGAGCCGCCACTGGCTGTGGGTTTAAGTTCAGAACATTTTAGATGGCTGCTGCCTGCAATGAACTGCACTCTTATGTTTTTCAAATAGTCTTTTTGTTACCAATATTTTTTTTTTAAACTGTTTTGTTTATTTAAACCTAGGGGACCCTCAATTTAGCCCCATTGTTGGGGCTAAGGAAATGTTAGGAATAACCCCTAGATGCTCAGAATATTATTTATTTCTTTCATGGGAACCTGTACAGTAGTAAATCTACTGTCCCACCAATGAATGCCTATGGGTCAAATTTGGATGGTATTATGTGCAACCGTACACATCAACTGTTTCTATTTAAAAAAAAAAAAAAATGTGTTACTAAAATGTGTTTAGTCTGTTAAGTATCGTTTTAACTAATTTTTTTTACTATTTATTATGAGGGGTCCAAAGCTTCCCACAAGTCGCAGGATTCTGCCGGAAATCGGAACAGTCTCCCGCAAGCAAGCAAATTTCCTGGAACCCGTCATCCACAAATTCATAATAATAAGCATATTTTTACTAATTTATTATCAATTGTTTCAGAGATTGGTATCATAAGCAAATAAAGTTAAATGTGTTAAGAAAGCAGCTGTTCCAGATCTCCCTGAACTGAGGTGACTCCTTCCAACTTGAGACCCCTGTAATTTAGACTAACTCAGCTTAATTCCTTTACTAAAATTGTCAAGTTTTTTTTACTTAAAAGGGAATGTTAATTCAAAATCACCCAAATGTAATTAGATTGCTAGTAGAAGACCCCAAATCTTCCTAAAATTATGTGGTGTTATAGAGGGCGCTATTGAAATGAAAATAGGAATAAGAGAAATACTTGAGTACCGGTACACATGGCAACATGGTGAAGGCTCTATGAATTGCAACAGATAATTCACAATTCAATTTTCCCAATAGGCCTATATAGACAGAGAAGCATGAGTGCAGACACAAGAAACATTATAATGTAAAAGCAAAAGACGTACTTACATTAAAATCCCTCAGAGAAAAAACAATATCAAGCAAAACAGAACCAAGAATAGTGATTTTGCGATAATCGGTACAGCAAAATTAAAATTAGATCACCTCTATCAAAAAAATATCCCCGACCTCAAAGAACCACCAATATTCTATTACAGGACCACCTCATTAACAGCCATGGCTCGGTTCTTACAGCATGCATACATTATTTTTTTTAATTACTGTATATGGTTTTTAAATATCATTTTAGCAAAAAGATTTTAGATATACTTTATCAATTATCAATAATATACAGCAGTGATATAGTGAACCTTTTTTTCTTCAATTCAATGAAAATTGTTATTTGTTGTTGTCTAATTATGATACAATTTGCTCTTGTAGGGGCCATTTCATTTAGGGTCATTCTTTGTCTACAAGTAACGTTGGATGATTGAATTAATAGATAATTAATAAACACTTTTTAAACATACATGTCTTACTCTAATTAAAGTCCACCTCCAACTAATAATAATTCTGTAGACTTGTTATTTGCTGTTGTCTAATTATGATACATTTGCTCTTGTAGGGGCCATTTCATTTAGGGTCATTCTTTGTCTACAAGTAACATTGGATGATTACTCTAACTAAAGACCACCTCCAATTAATAATAATTCTGTAGACTTATCAGGGGTGGACGCAGAATTTTTCAAATCAGTTCCAACAACATGATTCAATGACCTGTTTGAAATTCTTACTGTACTGTATACCAAATACGAGAGGTAAAAAGCATTATAAATTCTAGAATTTTCCATACACCTTGAGAGAATAAATACCCGTTTGAAATTATCTTAACTGGCTATTTGTTTCTGGAAAGCAATTTTATAAGCAAAGTTCAAATCATCACATAAGGTTGCTTCAAACACTGCAGTGCTATGAGTACTTACAGTAAGGCAAAAATCTTATTTTCTGAATTGTTAACTCAAAATCATAATCATTAGTAATTTTATATGCCAGTCAGATTACTATTACTGTCTTCCTCAGAAAGAGTTTTACATTTGGAACAACCTAATTTCAGCTAATTTCCACTTTAACAAGATTAATAATTTAGTCTTGATACCTCCAAATGCATTTCTAGCTACAAGGGCACCAGAGCAAGGAATGGTGGCACCACCACTGAATTAATACACCTTGGCTAGACAAGTGTGAAATTTGATTTGTTTTTGCAGACTAAACACTCTATTAGTAAAATCAATAAGAGCTCCTACCCTTAAAAACTTTGTTATTCTGCATATAAGTGTAGTGTACATTTACATTTTATTTTGTGTATAATATATATATTATATATAAATTATCTTAGTTCCTCAGGTAAAAAGTCTGCCCCTTGAACATGAAATTGGATTGAGTTTGGGGTAAACATTTCCACAAGAGATAAGTCAAATTTCCCCACACAATAAACGAGAAAAATTGTCATAGAAAGATAATTTCACTGCTGTAGTAGTCCTTATGCTCAGCAGTAACATTCTGTGCTCAGTCTTTTTCCTAGAAATTAATTTATTAGCACCTTAAATGTTTTGCTGCAGTAGAAAAATAAACAGCTGCGTTAAAAACCAAAGCTCAACTTTTTGCTGATGGAACATTATCATGACATTTAAACCCAAACGAACCATAAAATGCAAACAACATAATGTTTGCAGGCTTAGGTAGGCTACATATTGTAGGTGTAGCCAACACCACAGTCCAGCCTAGGGCCCAAGTTTCTCAGGTGCTGAGGGAAGGTTAAGTAGCTCAAGAGTTGGGCCAAGCTAGAATTTCATATGCAATTTATCTGTATACTAGAACTTAAAATTGTTTATCTGAGGATTACATAGTGTAAAATGTCTTTTTCAACCACTTTAAGGGGTGGTCTTACATGAAAGAAGTATTTTGCATTAAAGTCTACTTAAAAGTTGGGGGTGGAAGTAAGAAATTTAAATAAAGCATCTGGGCTTAAATTTATTTTACTGAGACAGATTTAGGAATTTAAAATTGAGCCTGCACTTTAGTTCCAAGAAATTAAGTGCCCTTAATTAAGTGCCCTTTGCCATCCCTTTTTTCTGATTCTGCCAATGTTTTAATTCAAGGTACCAAAACTGGGAACATGACAAAACATATTCATTAATTTTTAATTTACTTTATTTTTTTACATGCAATTCTGCATAAAATACATAATTTTCAATATTTTGTTTTTAAATATCCTCTTTTAAAGTTTCAATAACTTTTGAATTTGAAAGATATAAAAATAAACGTGACTATCAGTCAAGTTTTTAAATGGGGCTTGCAATGCCAAACCTAGCATCAGTGACCAAAACAAGAAAATTGATTTTTTAATATATTCATATTCTCCATCAACTTATTATTGCCAAAGTTTTGAGTAAAAGTATCATGGCTTCTCTGCACTAAAGTACACAATACCGACACATTCTTATGTTATACTGTATATTTATATATTACTCAGTTTAACATTTAGCGACAGTACTCTGGTTTTGGGATGACAAGCCTCAAATATACATTTTAGAGAGGTATAAACAGGATTCATGGTCTACACCTATGATCATGACCATATATTTCAGTTGCTAAGTGTTGTTATTATCATTAATATTATTATTATTATTATTATGATTTTCCAAATCTCAACATCAATACCGCTTATACACCTTCCTCTCCTTTTTCCTCATCTTCTTTTCATCATCCTCTGGAGGAGGTGGAGCAAAGAACCAAGGTGACAGGAAATTGACCCAGACAAGGTAGAAAGCACGAATAGGCCCTAACAGCCATAATAACCAGAAATAATCTGAAAAAATGCCTAGAAACTGCACTATTGCTGTCAACAAGATTATATCTTTTATATGCCTGCAAAGAAAAGCAAAAGTAGAAATATTCATAATCTTTTTCCTTAAAAAGAAACAAAAAAATATAATAATAAATATGCTTTAATTGAATGTTTATTCAGAAAATTTGCTTTTATACAGATACACATTGAAAAATAATTTTAATAATGTTTTAATATGGAGGAGGTGGAGCAAAGAACCAAGGCAACAGCAAATTGACCCAGACAAGGTAGAAAGCATGAATAGGCCTTGCTAGCCATAATAACCAGAAATAATTTGAAAAAAAATGCATAGATACTGTACTATTGATGTAATTTGTCCAAATTAATTTTTAACTTTTTCAACAATCTTAAATATTCAAAAATAACTATCCTAATAACAGTTCCCAGGTTTTCATCAAATGTAGAACAATCAACTGTGAAAGTGTAATAACACTATTTACGATAATGTTTACTTTCTTTCATCCCATCCATCATTATTTTATTTATATTATAGTATGGTAAAAAGTAGGGTCATCAATAGACCATTACAACTAGATACTCCAATGTGGTCCTGTATCTTTTTCAATGACGATGATATCTACATCTTATCCATGACAACGTTAATTGGTACTCACTCTGCCATTCCAGATTCCATGTTCAAATCAATTCCTCCATCTACCAACGTACCTGTTTCAGAAAATGTTGCTTTTGCCATGGATGATAATAACTTATAACAGCCAAAATATGTAACCACAGATAAAATAAGTAATACCTGAAAAAATAATTAGTAGACATAATATTTGTTATGTTACAAAAATGTTGAAGTTAGCAGAAACAATTAATTGTTAGGAAATGAAAATACCTAGGAGAAAAATTGAAGTATAATCAGCTGGGCCAGGAATTTGAGGGGAGAATCCAGAGAAAAATCTGGGTAGGGACCTTGCGACATGCAAAGCACTAAGGGAGAAGTGTATTTGAGATAGACACGTCTATTTCGCTTTATTTTCTTTACTCTCTTTTTTTTGCCACCTCCTGGAACCGCCCCTGAGTTTAGTTCTCACGAGGCAATCATTTTTTCAAGTAGGAAGAAGCTGATGAATGATGTTTAATAATGATGATGATTATACAGTAATTTCATGTATTTATTTATTCTTTATTTATACTGAAATGCACTTTCATTACAATAGTACTGGTTTTCAAAGAGGTTCAATTAAAGAGAAACGAAAATCAAATAACACAGATAACTTAACTAATGAGAAGAAAAACGAATTACAAAACAAACACGGAGTAAATGCACACAGCTTAAACACTTTCAATTTAAAGGCAAATTAAGGTAAAAGTTCAAATATATTTGTGATGAGGGATGATTGACAAGATATTAATACTTTTTTATTATGATGATGATAATGATAATGTTGCTGGTGATGAGTGACAATTGAAAAGATAATAATTTTGATTTTGATGATAATGAGGGAGGATTGATAAGATATTAATAACTTTGATTATGATGATGATAATGTTGTTGTTAGTAATGAGGGACAATTGATAAGATAATGATTTTGATTATGATGGTAATGATAATGTTGGTGATGAGGGATGACTGATAAGATATTAATAATTTTATTATGATGATAATAATGATAATCTTGTTGGTGATGAGGGACAATTGATAAGATAATATTTTTGATTATGATGATAATGTTGGTGATGAGGGATGATTGATATGATATTAATAATTTTGATTATGATGATAATGTTGGTAATGAGGGATGATTGATAAGATATTAATTATTTTGATTATGATGATGATGATGATGGTAATGCTGTTAGTGATGGGGATGATTGATAAAATATTAATAATTTTGATTATGATGATGATGATAATGTTGGTGATGAGGGATGATTGATAAGATATTAATAATTTTGATTATGATGATGATGATAATGTTGGTGATGAGCGATGATTGAGAAGATATTAATAACTTTGATTATGATGATGATGATAATGTTGGTGATGAGGGATGATTGAGAAGATATTAATTATTTTGATTATGATGATGATGATAATGCTGTTAGTGATGGGGGATGATTGATAAGATATTAATAGTTTTGATTATGATGATGATGATAATGTTAGAGATGGGGGATGATTGATAAGATATTAATAGTTTTGATTATGATGATGATAATGTTGTTGGTGATGGGAGATGATTGATAAGATATTATAAATTTGATTATGATGATGATAATGTTGGTGATGAGGGATGACTGATAAGATATTAATAATTTTGATCATGATGATGATAATGTTGTTGGTGATGAGGGTTGATTGTTAAGATAATAACAATTTTAATTTCTAATGATTATGATAATGTTGTTGGTGATGGGAGATGATTGATAAGATAATAATAATAATGTTGATGAGATGAAGATGATGTTGTTGTTGGTAATGAGGGACAATCGATAAGATAATAATTTTGATGATAATAAATGTTACATTATGTTGAATAGTATATTGATAATAATGTAACAACTATCAAATCAAAGACCAAATGTATGACTACCAGACTGAATTGCAGTCTGGTAGTTGAAAATGTTGAAAGTAAACAAAATCATCTCATATCGCCTTATTTTGCAAGCCAGCACCCTCACCGAAACATCAAGCCCACCCCCACCCCACCCCATTTTAAGACTCCTAGATATGCCACTGATTGGGGCCAAGTTGAATCAAAATCATAATGATGATGCATACATACAATAATGATTACGAAACAGCGATATATACCCCTGATTTATATGTGTATAATATGGTGTGTTTTTTACAGAGAATATATTCCCCACGCAGGCTTTCAATACAGTCTGATGTGTAGGTTATCGGTATGTACAATATGTGTATGTACAGTTTATCACACTTATGTTTATTGTATTGAATTAATAATGAAGAATATAATGTTAGCCATAATCAAATCACTGTCATTGAATCATTATATATAAAGCAATCTTTAAAATGAAAAACCAACATTAAAATTTTAATTTAAAAAAAAGAAGATGAATTACATTACACTGTAGTTTTCAGGGAGTTTTTGTTCAGGTTCCCTTCGAATTGGAATGGCTTCTGAGGATAGCAGCGTATACGTACAATTATTAATGATAAGTTCAAAAATATTTTAGAAAAAGTATGAGAAAAAAAATTGAAAAAATCATAGGCATAATATTTATTGAAATGAGGTTGAATGCCAAATGTTCTGTATAATATTTAATATGACTTTCTATGAAAATGAGAGAAAAAAGCGTGTGACTGATGATTTGACTATGAATTGATTATTAGATTTTGAATTTTGAGTAAAGGTGAACTACTTACAAAAGTAGACCTGTGCCAGGACTGTATTTTATATTGTTATTTGATATAAATTATAATGTGTATTAGAAGTCAATCGTGACGTCATCATTCTAACTCCCAATGTTTTTTGCCTATGTATTCCCCAGCGTTTAATAATTTTTGTATTATTGGACGCTCGGCTTGATTTTTTTTAAGGTTCAGGTGAAAAAAAAGATTCCTTATTTTTTCGTCACCACCGCCGAAAAATACATCGCGCATCGCGATAAAAATTTAATTGTAATTGAAAATTACTTTCGTAAAACAAACTTAATTAGAACCCAAAGAAAGTTACTTCAAATTAAGTAAGAACAATTAAGGAATTATTGAATCAATGGACCCTCATAAACACAACAAACTGAATGTTTAATAGAAATATTCTAGACCTATTTTAAGGACTCAAGGAACAAATTTAGATGTAGGCCTACGACCAGGCAGGCCGCCCGGGCCTCCTCCTACTATTACTAGGCATAGGCCATAGCCTGGCCTAGTTATGAAATCATCGCACGATTTTACCTGTCTACATGTACCGACCAAAAAGGTAGTGACTGTATACCCTCTCGAATGCTGAAATGTTTATTTCTTTGACGAAAGTCTATCAATATAGCATTACAAACAAGTTCTTTCTTACACAATAGTTATTCATCGTATCCGTACTGTACTGCTGATGTTAGATGAGTTAAACGCGTACTACAAGAGCAAAAATCAGCATACGCATAGCTCAATTTAAATACGCACACGTATACTGATCATATCACTATAGCAACCGATGGCTGCTACAACAGTTGGTTATAAAAAAACTAAAATTAAAAGACGGCGATTGACTTATAAAGCAATTAGTAGAGCATGCATCGTACACTAAACAGAAAATTATTATACTTAGGTTAGATTTAATGCATTCAAAAATTTCCTTCGGGCCTTCAGGGCCCTCAGGAAATTTTTTCAAGCATTAAATTTAACTTTCGTACAATAATTTTCCTATAGTGTACTATGTGGAGCTCTACTAATTGCTTAATATTGTACATGTGCGGATATAGAAAAAAATAAAAGGTAGACAGGGGCTATGTACTCTATGTGAATATAATAGTAATAGCATTTGTCATGGACGTGTGTTTGAAAAAAAATCATAATTATTGTATTTCGCGATCAAACAGTATTACCAAGGGACAGGGATGCATCTAATCTATTATCATTTTTCCAAATAAAAAGATCGTAATCTTGAGGGTGCTGTACATTGACATTATCATTGCACATCTACGTTTAAATGTCAAGGTAAATCAGTATTACATGCTGGCCAAAATATAAAATCGAGTCTGATACAAATAAAAACGTGTTGTACCAAGAGGTTCAACGATCTAAGGTTAACCTATAGGTTACTAGGTAGGCCTAGATAGTACATACTGTACAGTTGAATATTAACAAATTCAGATGAAGACAGAAAACATAGTTTAAATAGCCAGCAATTTAAGTTTACAAAATATTATTAAACAAGCATCAGTTTCGTTTTAAATTTGAACGGAAAGTGATAAACTATTCTCCAGGATTTTCCTCTCTGCTATGCTGTACGACTGCTAACCATAACGCCACATTATTTGTTAACAACAACCATTTTCTTCGTCTATTCATTAAACGCACGGTTTCGCAGAGAGTATCGCGCAGTGTCACGCATCACTAACCTTTCTAGATGAAATTAAGCCTACTAAGTGTCGTTGGTACGAGAGTTCGCGCTAATGCCACATGAGTATAGAGATGACATACGTACGTAGGCTGGTTTTGTCTGCCGATTTCGCACTAGGCCTAGCTATACCTCTAAAGTCTAAAATTTGCTTGCTTCCTTGTTAATATTAGCAGGTTTTTTGACGACAAAAACATTACATTTCAAGGTTTGATTTATTATTTCAACACTGTTTAAATTTGTGTGATATAACTGAAATTACTTAATCAAAATCCTGTTGTACTGTACGTGTTTCGTTATTTCGTACTCATGGATAACAACTTTCGATAGGCTAGAGCAGTTTGGAAGTAAATAAACATCGAGTGACAGATGTAGGAATTAGCGATTGTTGTAAGAGTCTTTAAATTATAAATGAAATATTTCATTTACTGTAATTGTTAGTATTTACAATATAACATATTCTGTGAATGCTATCTGTTTGTTTAAATTTAGCTATATCTGCCTAAAGCTGCAGACGCACTGGATTTATAAAGGGGAAGATTTTACCGAGACGCCGGTAACACTCCGACGGTAGAATCGTACGGCTGTCCGCTCTTGGATTTTCGACTCGGTTTAGTTTCCTGTCAGTGTGGGTAAAACCTAATCGAGCAATGAAAAGCAATTATTGAGGGTGCTAACAGGACCTCTACTTCTACTTTGCCAACATGACTTTTCAAACGTTACGGCCAGGCAAAAAATGCCAAATGGCAACCCTGATTGCGAGTTTAATCTGTGCACATATTGCCCAACAGAGCGATAAATGTCATCAACTTCAGTGACCCCAGAAGATTAACCAAGTCACGCGGTTCGCATTGGACTACTGTATCTAGCCCGTTCAAATTCACTCCAGTAGTTTTCCTGAGCACAATTGACTCTGTGAAACTAACCGTCGACTTGGGTAAGTTTCCTGACCAGAAAACTTCCTAGGTTGTTTGCACAGGACTTTTATGACTAAACTAACAGGCGTATCGGTTAGTTTTACCGAAATAACTCCCGTTCAAATGTGGCTTTAGACTAAGAGTATTGTGGGCCAAGCCCCTAGGTTGGACTGGTAGTAGTGGTACTTAAGGACATGGATGACCTTATTCATGAGAAAATTTTATATATAACCTCAAGCAATCATGTTTAGCAAATATTTTTTGGATTGTTTTTATCGCCTACATCTTTATTATTCATTAAAAATGCAAGATATTACCAGTGGTTCAACACCAGACAGCACCTACAAGCACAGTTTCAGCTTTATTTCTACAAGTCATTTTACTACTAGTGTAGTTTATGTGTTTACAAAGTCAACGTGACCTCTGTGACCTCACTTTTTTTATGCCGACGATGAAAAAAAACCAAACAATGATACATACCCAGTTATACCATAAGAAAGATTCATAGAACCATAAAAGTCTAAAAACTATATGCAGTCCAGAGGTTATCCCCATCACTGAAGAGTAGAATTTCAGAGTCTCATTGTTTTCCAGATAAATCTGTTTCTGCCCTTTGGTTTTTGGTTTTCCTTTAGGCTGCAAGAAAAAAAAAATTTCTGACCTACTGTAACAACAGATACTGGTTAAAATGTACAGTAAATACAGTATTTAAAATTGAGATTCCTTTTTTATGTTTATTATAGAAAATGACAAAATTTACATTCAGTAAAATTCTCAAGTTAATGACAAGAAGAAATTCGAAAAGTCTAGAAAAGTTGCCCAACATATCATTAGTACTACCGACCTTACACTAATATCATCAATAAAAGTTACTTTTATTAACCTTATGTTTTGTTACCTTTTTTTTGTATTTAACTGAACCACTTTGGAAACCAGTACATTGTATTGAAAGTGTATTTCAGAATAAAGAAAAAATAAATAAATAAAATCAATATATGAAAAATATGTGGCCGTTAAATTATATAGGATCCTACAAATTTTCTACACTCTGCTTATAATTACAACAGATTACGGTAGGCATCAGACTTTTGCCTCCAATAACATCACTTTGTAGATAGAAACTCATTTGTGCCAAATAGTATCCATCTTTTCAATTCATGTGCAACTAGGTTTCAATTTAATTACGTAATTATACTAACAGTGTTAAAAATCTTGCTCTATTTTAAAGTTTCTTCATGATTTTATTCTTCTTTAATGTTTTATGTTTATTTTTAAGGCTGTATTTTATTGGCACTGGATGTGTTGTGGTGTTACGTAAGTTTCTTTTCTAACTTTTAAATCTTGCAGAGTAATTCAATTTTCTGTTTATAATTTTAATATTACAGACAATAAAGTTTCATTAATCTTGAATCTCAACTGTCTAAAAAATTTCTGATTTCAAAGCATGGGGCTGAGTGTGTACATACAGGAAATCATCCCCCACCCACCATGACCTTGCTTTGCTAACACTAGTCACCCATCACTTAGACTCTAGTTCTGAGCCTTTTACAGACTACTGTAAGGTCTATTTTTATGTCATTCAATCTTTTGTGATTTAGGGAGGGCACATTCCCCCTTGTTTTGAACTGTTAATTTATTTTTTTTTATATTTTAAACAAAAATTACAAATTGGAATACAAAGACAAAATATTTTGTAACATAGTTTAAAACTGAACACATATTTCCGCCATCTATAATGCATAGTATATTTTAGACGTTGGGGTCAATCCACCTCCTTTCCTATCGCAGCATTCCCAAGCCCTAGTGCCCCTCACTTTCCACTATTCTAAGAAACTGGTTCCCTTTGTTTACTGTAAATAATCTTGGGGATGCTGCTGTCTTTATAGGTCAACACCAACCTCAAACACACCATAGTTGGTGCTGAAGTGATCAAAATTTAAGGATGTCACTTAATATTTTCCATTGTGTCTTACATTGACTTAAGATAAGATAAGATAAGATACACTTTATTGCTCCAGAAATTCAGTTCTCGCATTGAAATACAGTAAAAAAAATTAAAAGAATGATCAAATATAATGAACTATAAAAATTACAATGTAAAAAAGATATCAAACAACGACCATTAAAACACAAGTCATCGAAGCATTATTATTATTATTATCAATATTATTATTATTATTATTATTATTATTATTGTTACTATCATTTTCCATTTCATCATCATTACTACCATAATTCATCTTTTAAAAGTTTTGTTAAAAGCTCTGACACCTTGGGGAACGAATGAGGAAGAGTAGTGGCATGTGCGCGCTGCCGGCGGCCTCAGTCTACCACTCCGAGCAATCTTTGAGTCAATAATTTCAGAGTGAAGGGGATGGGTCACGTCTTCAATGATGCTCTGAAACACCTTCTCTAACCGGTAGTGGTACACCAAGTCCGCCGACAGGCAACGCACACCGGCCACTCTCTCAACCTTTCGGATCAGACGATTGATTTTTTCCTTGTCACAGTTAGATATATTTCCTCCCCAACCCACAATACAATAGCTCCAGACACTTAAAATTACAGAATTATAAAAGATACCTAAAATTTTACTGCACACATTAAAAGAACTAAGTTTACGAAGACAATACATCCTGCTGTTAAGCTTTTTCATCATGTGATCGGTATGATCATCCCATTTGAGAGTGTTATTTAATATTATACGCCTAAATATTTATATGACTTGACCTGCTCAATTTCAGAAATTAAATCAGCCACTCTCACAAAATTCAACCTTGCTTTCCAAAGGTCACAAACTTCTCAAGTTTCTAAAATGAATTTCCGTAACCTGTATTCAGATTTCCATAGCACCTAATAATTTGCCTTGAATGCAAGATATGGGTTGCTCAAAATCGCATCTGTGGAATTTCAAACAAACTGGTCAGGATGAAGATATTATATAGGTCACTTTTCAGGACCATCAGGCCCACTTTCAAATTGGGTTTGATCGTCCTGAAAATGGGCCTCATCCTCTTTTGGCCCACTTGTCTGTATTCAATGTGGAATTTCAAACAGGACAGGATGAAGCTTTACAGGCCACTTTTTCTTAGACTTCACAGTAATCTGACAAGTGTTTGTAAAGAGAAAATTACTTGAGATCCTGATGGAAAAATCATTATTCTGGACCTAAATATTTATTGGTCTAGGCCTATGATAAATTTCCATTAGTATTTTTGTCTATTTCTATAGGCTGAGGCTATCGGCACTGCCGCAGTGTGAAAAAAAGCTGCTGTTTTCTATCGGCACTGCTGCAGTGCCAAAAAGCTGCTTTTTTCTATCGGCACTGCCACAGTGCGAAAAAAGCTGTTAATTTCTATCTGCATTATTGCCGCAGTACGAAAAAAGCTCCGATTTTCTATCTGCACTGCCACAGTGCCAAAACACTGCAGTTTTCTATCGGCACTGCCACTCGAAAAGCTGCTGTTTAACTATCAAATGGATGTTTTTATCTGTAGATTATGGTATCAATAATTGGTTAGGTCTAGCCTAGCCTATATTATTGTTAACATTATATTATATACGTTTTATAATTAATTATAATTATTTCTAATTATTAAATATATACATATATATAGGTCCATACATAAAACAAAAAATAGAACAACAAAAATAAAAAATACAATAGTAGTAATAATAAAAATAATAATAATAATAATAATAATAATAATAATAATAATAATAATATAATAATAATAACAGTGCTCGAATAATATTATAATAATGAATAATAACTGTTTGATTAATGAGATGAATCAGCATATATTAAATCAACTTGCGTCTATGCAAAACCTGTTTTTTAAAATATAGATGTTATCCATTTTATTCTGTTTTAAAAAATAATCTTATAAATTATAAGTTTATTTTCTATAATTTTATCCACATAATTCATGATTTCAATGTTAGTATGGTTGATAAATAATATATAAAATAATAATTATAATAATAATAATAATAATAATAATAATAATTAAGGTGCTCAAATAATGTTTTAATAAAGAATTAATAATACTTCAATAATACTTCAATAGGCCTATTTTTCGATAGTGTGATTAATGAGATATTTGTTGATTAATTTATAGAAATATATAATAGGTATAGGCCTATACCATTAATAATTAAATCAACTTACGTCTATAGATGTAAAATCTGGTTTTGTTTTTTTTTCAATCAAATGTTACCTAGTTTATTCTGTTTAAAAAAATAATCTTATAAATTACCGCACATTATAAAGTTACATTGTAAATTATATGAGAATTTAATCCACATAATTTATGTTTTCAATTATTTAAGCATTTAAACAATTCAGTGGGCCTAACGCTGGAAGTAGTATAAAACAAAACAAAAACAAAACACAAAAAACATCGTCAAAGTGTTTTCATGTATGCAAATGCTAATACTATCGCGCGATTACCGCATACTTTTTGTAAGCATAGCTCAGGATGATGGTTCACACGAGGTGAAGAATATCCGTCGAAATGCCGTGTAAATAAACTGCAATTATGCAAATAACTTTCACAAGAACTTTACGAATATCCTTATTAATATAATCTTAATTAATATCTTAAATTAGTTAATTACTAATTAATTAATAGATTGATATAAACATTGTGACCTTATAACTACAATTTATTTAATATATTATAAATAATAAATACATGAATCCTGCAACAAATTTTTCAGGTCAGAAATTGGCATCAAAATTAGTAATTTTTCAATTGCAATCTTCGTATTTGTTGGTTCATGGAAATATATATATGTATAATTATTATTATTATATACATATATTATTATTACATTTATATTATATATATCTATATATATATATATAATTTAATAGACAAATAGGATAAACCCAGAAAAAAACATGTGTTTCAGTCTACCAAGTCAATCTTATTGTCTTTACTTTTGAGTTTTATAATAACACACATATATATACATATATATACCTATATATACATATATATACATATACACACACGCATATATATATATATATGTATATATATATACACACATATATATAA